CCCCCCCGGGGGTGCCCCCCCCCTGGGCTCCCCGCAAAAAAAAAAAAAAAAAGCTCAGTCTCCCCTCTCCTGGCAGCAGGGAAATCCCTTCTTGCGGGGTGCTGGGTACCCCGGGCGCTGGGCTCCCTGCCGGGATGCCGCGGGGCAGAGCAGACCTGGGAGGGAAGGAGGGAGGGAGGGAGGGCAGCAGAAACGCACCCACCGCTGCCACAGCTGCGGTCTGAGCCAAGCCAGGGGTCCCGCTGCTGGAAGAGGGGCTGCGAGGGGGCTGGTAAAACAGTTCCCGTTCCCGGGAGAGCATCGGGAGGGACAGGAGCTGGGGAGAATGGTGTGCTAGGAGCCTTGCTGGTGGCCCTGCGTGGCCCTGAGCGGTGCCCGGGAGGGCTCCAGGCTCTCCCATCGCGGTGGTGGGTGTTTGGGCTCTTCAAACCGAGGGCAGGGAAGGGGAAACTGGGACTGCCGTGGTGTGCCCTGCTCCAGGCTGATCCGCTCATGCAGCCCATTCCTGGGAGAGACCAATGAAGTGTGAGAGCCAGCCGGGATAGGAGCGGGATGGGAGCCAGGGCCCCGCAGAGATGCGGGAGGAGCCGGACTGTGTGAACTTGCCTAAAGGCGCTGGCAGCCCGACCGAGAACAGCTCTTCTTTGGCCGGGAAAGAAGGGATCATGCTGTTTAGAAAACCAATTGGAAAACTGCATTCCCTTTCTCTTATGAGTGGTTTAAGATGGGCCACGGCTGAGGTTCTCTGCCGTCCTTTGCCTGGGGGATGTGATGTTCTTGCTGGGCAGAGCCTGGGAGCAGATCCAGGAGTCCCTGGGGCTGTAGTTGGGCTGCCCCTCGGATCCCCCCCTCCAGTCCCTGTGAATGCACGGGCAGAGCCCATGCTGTGGAAGCAGAGGGTGTCTGTGCCTGGAGATGAGGCAGGGCTGCATGCAGCAGTCCTGTCAGCCCTGGCATCTCGAGGTGGTGTCCACAGGGCCTGAGCTGGAAGGCTCTGGGCAGGAAGGCAGGTGCAGGAGCACAGGGAAAAACTCCACAGCAAAGCATGGAAGGAATTTACAGAGCACCTGAAATCAGGAGCAAGCTGTGAATGATGTGGGTGTCAGAGGTGCTGCCCCATCCAAGCTCCCTCAGAAAGCGGTACAGGGGTGCCCATAACTCAGCCCTGCCACCTGTAACACCGGCCCATCCGTGCTCGGCCCTTGCACCCTTTGAAGGCAGCTGGGTGGGAACAGGGCTGAGCTGTGCCGTGCTCAGCAGGATGGCTCCCAGCCAGGCTGGGCGAGGGGGCAGGCAGCTCTCACCCCCTCAGCTGTGCCTTCATCCAGCCGGGCTGTGTAATTCCCTGTGACAGTTCAATGCAGAGTGAAGCCAGCAGCGTCGAGGCAGCGGACGCATGAAAGGTGAGTGCGCTGGAGCCTGAATAATCTGGGGAGCTTCTCTGTCCAGCACGCTGCCCGGGGAGCCTGGGGGCAGGGAGCAAACGCTGACCCCAGACTCGTCCCTGCACTGATGTCCCCTGGGGCTTGTGGTCTGTCCTGACCTCTACTGCATGGTCCTCACAAGCTCATCATGGAGCCAGGGCAGGTGTAATGTATTTGCTGGCTGGCTGCTGCACACAGATCTGGGTGTCATCCTAAAAGGCTTTAGGGGAGCAGCAAGAGGGCTGCAGGGCTTGAGGTGCTTGCTCTGCACATCTACACTCCTGCTGGGAGTGGGAGCTGGGACACCAGTGTTGGCAGCAGTGTCTCGTGGTGGCAGCTGGAGGGGCACCACCGCGGGAGGAGGGGGCAGAGCTCCAGGAGCTGCACCCTGGTGTACATGCACCCTCATCCCTGACCTGCTTCCAGGTGCTTGCACACACATGTACACACATGCACACTCCCCTGCCCTCAGCACACACGGGTGCTGTGCTGGTGTCCTGGTGCCAGCAGTGGGCGCAGCTCTCTTACTCCATCCCTCCAATGAGCTCCCACACTGTGGGGACTTTTTCTGTGTGTGTTTATTCTGCTGATTTAGCTCTCAAATCCCTCATGGCAGCGGGTTTGTTTTTGCTGGGCTTTTTTATTTCCCCCCCTGGATTCTTCTGGAGCTGGAGAAAGGTACCATGGCAGCTGTGATTGCCCAGCTCCAGGGCTCTTTGGTGTGGGGCGGCAGCCTGCTGAGTCCTGGATAAAGAAGCTACACAGAAATACAGGGGGGTCAGGGCTGGGAGCTGGCATCTAGGAGCAGGATCCCACTGCCAATATGCAGGCAGGGACTGCTTCACTTTCCAGGGGCAAGAGCAGCATCAGCCCTGGGCAGCCTTGTGCTGAGTTCACACAACCAAAGGGCTTTCCTACTGCTGGGGGGGGGGAGGCAGGGGTCCCCATGGAGAGCATTCTGTCCACAGGCAGAGCAATGGGTGACTGCAGGGGTGGGGAACAAGCCCCAACAGCTCTCTGGTCAGAGGTACTTAGTTGCTGATGTGCACAATTAACCTTCCTGTTGCAATTAATACACATGGTCTAATGTATGGCAATGAGCAGGGCATGGGGGTGTACACACGTGTGTGCACACATGCACACATGCAGGTGTGTGTGCACAATGGAGGCAGCTGCAACCTCACTCCTAGGCAGGCTGCCTGCAGCCCACCTTGCCCCCTCCTCACTGCTGCATCACACCCTGACCCTCTCCCACCCTCCCCAGGCAGGATGCAGGTCCGGGGCTTCCTCCTCCTCCTCCTGGCACTGGTCCTGCTGGCTGCCACCACCGAGGCTGGCAAGAACAAGAAAGGTGAGGGGCAAACCAGGGTGGGGGGGCTGATGGGGTGGGGGGCAGCCTGGGGCTTGTGCCTGTGTCCTTGCAGCAAGCACCTGCTCCCCCTTCCCTCTCAGAGAAGGCGAAGAAGGATGGCTCTGAGTGCGAGGACTGGCGCTGGGGTCCCTGTGTCCCCAACAGCAAGGACTGTGGCCTGGGCTACCGCGAGGGAACTTGCAAAGATGAGAGTAGGAAGCTCAAGTGCAAGATCCCCTGCAACTGGAAGAAGAAGTTTGGAGGTGGGTGTGTGGCGGTGGGGTGACTGGGGACCACCTTGGGCTGGGTGGCTGAGGCTGGTGCCCACACCAGGCCCTGTCTGGCTCTGACACCTCTCCCCTCTCTTCCAGCTGACTGCAAGTACAAGTTTGAGAGCTGGGGTGGGTGTAGTGCTCAGACAGGAGTGAAGACTCGCTCCGGCATCCTGAAGAAAGCCCTGTACAATGCCCAGTGCGAGGAGATCGTCTATGTGACCAAGCCTTGCTCTTCCAAGATCAAGTCAAAGTCCAAAGGTCAGTTTCCACCACTCCTGTCCCCAGAAGGGTCCTACTGGGACCCTGAGCAGGAGTTCTCATGGGGTACCTTGGCCCATTGGAGTTGTTCTTTGCTTGTGGTGCGGGGCATCACGCAGTATGCTCTTCCCTCAGCATCAGCACATGTGACAGCCCTGAAGTCCCACTCCTGGCTGGGTGGGATGCAGGTGTGCTAGGAAATGTCCTGATCTTCCCCCAAGTCATTGTCAGCTTTGGTGGGATGGGGTTTTCCCCCTCAGTTGGGCTGGTACAAAACATGGCTTTGTGTGGTGGAGGGAGGCTGTCTGCAGGGCTGCAGCCCCTGTGCCCTGCTGAGCCGGCTGTGCTGGCTACGTTTCTGCCACGGCAGCACCTGGGGGATCAGCGAGCTGCCAGCAGACACACTAACTCTTGTATCCTGTGCTTCTTGCATGCAGCAAAGAAGGGCAAGGGAAAGGACTAGAACGGGAAGCCAGCATCCTCGTCAGCCCCTCAACAGCATGCCCGTGGCTGCAGCCGGCCCAAGCTCCTGTCTTCTTCCTCTTCTTCCTCCTTTCCATGACTTCCTCTTTCACTGAGATGCCTTGTTTTAATCGCTAGTGTTGTAGAGAGCAAACCCACCTGCCCCACAGGAGAGGCTGCCCCCCTTCTCACCCCCACAGCCAGTGTGTCCTGCTCACCTCCTCTTAGCTGGTGCTGAGATTCACTGGGATGTGCCTGGACAATTGGGATGGGAACACACATATTTCCACACTCCAGCACAAATGAGACGCCTTTGGATCCTTCCCACTCTTCTGCAAGGTATGGGTGCCAGAGGGAAGGGCTGGGTGTTGAATGCCTGAGTAACCCCATCACTTATGTGCCCTTTACTTATGCGAGGACTGCTCTTGGCTTGGGGGGCTTCCTCCAGCATCCCTTTGGCCAGGGCAGGAGTTTCCTGGAGCAGCTGGGGAAAACAAAACCGCCATCCCCAGGAACCACTGTGTCCCCTCTTCTCCATCACTTCTAACCATGTGTGTCCATGCTGGGGCCTGAGACACCACCAGTGGTGCTGGGTGGGCGCTCTCACTTCTTTTGGAAAATGGGGTTTGTTTTCTTTTCCAATAAAAAAATCTTTTTTAAAAAAAAATTGTCTGAACACACCTGTCATCCCCACAAGGTGCTGCTGTGCTAGAAACGCCAGCAAACCTCAATTTTGCCAGCTCCACCAGGACTAGCAGTGAAGTCACCATGTGGCTGGCAGCAGTGGCCTGGGTACCACCACACGTGAACTTGGAGAAGGCACCTGGGTCACACCCTTCAGCCTCTTCCAGGCAGCCCTTTGGGCTGACCCCCTTGCTCTTGGAGGGAAGACGGGGCTGCCACCTGCATGCTGCAGTACGTGTCACTGGTGGGTGATGCTGTGGATTTGGGGACAAAGTGATGACTCATTCACTTCTTGCGTCGTGGCCAAGGTTAATTTCTGGTCCAAGGTCTTTATTTGTCTCAGGGTGGATTGGGCCATGGTTGTAACAGTTTACAAAAAACCAAAAGCCCGCCAGGCATTTTGGGCACCTCTATGTGAATAATCCTAAAGGCAGTGGTGGTGGGGTCCCTACCTGGGCCAGGGCAGCCTTTCTCCAGGTTGCACAGCATCACCCTGGTGTGGGGACAGAAAGGACGTACAGACGCGGAGAGTTTGCCAGCGCCAGCATGACCCCGTCCTCTCCCGTTCCTTGGGAGCACCCAGCCATGCCCACCAAGGCTTGCAGAGACCTGGCTTTGGGAGAAGGTGATGAGCAGCCCTGGGGTGGCCTGGGCTGCACACATGGGTGGGCTGGGAGGGGGCTGGAGACTGGCTGAAGCCCGCATGCTGAGGGCTCTGCCACAACACCAACAACAGGGTTACATCCATTTACAAAGCTCAGCAGCCGGCCCTGTCATCCCCACAAGGTGCTGCTGTGCTAGAAACGCCAGCAAACCTCAATTTTGCCAGCTCCACCAGGACTAGCAGTGAAGTCACCATGTGGCTGGCAGCAGTGGCCTGGGTACCACCACACGTGAACTTGGAGAAGGCACCTGGGTCACACCCTTCAGCCTCTTCCAGGCAGCCCTTTGGGCTGACCCCCTTGCTCTTGGAGGGAAGACGGGGCTGCCACCTGCATGCTGCAGTACGTGTCACTGGTGCGTGATGCTGTGGATTTGGGGACAAAGTGATGACTCATTCACTTCTTGCGTCGTGGCCAAGGTTAATTTCTGGTCCAAGGTCTTTATTTGTCTCAGGGTGGATTGGGCCATGGTTGTAACAGTTTACAAAAAACCAAAAGCCCGCCAGGCATTTTGGGCACCTCTATGTGAATAATCCTAAAGGCAGTGGTGGTGGGGTCCCTACCTGGGCCAGGGCAGCCTTTCTCCAGGTTGCACAGCATCACCCTGGTGTGGGGACAGAAAGGACGTACAGACGCGGAGAGTTTGCCAGCGCCAGCATGACCCCGTCCTCTCCCGTTCCTTGGGAGCACCCAGCCATGCCCACCAAGGCTTGCAGAGACCTGGCTTTGGGAGAAGGTGATGAGCAGCCCTGGGGTGGCCTGGGCTGCACACATGGGTGGGCTGGGAGGGGGCTGGAGACTGGCTGAAGCCCGCATGCTGAGGGCTCTGCCACAACACCAACAACAGGGTTACATCCATTTACAAAGCTCAGCAGCCGGCTCCTTTGGCCTCCCTGGGGCATCCCCCTGCCCCGGGGCAGGAGCAGGGCTGGGGCCACCGTCCTCTACTGCCCCCAGAGCTGTGCATCAGGCCTCACACACCCCCCACGGGGAGAGTGGGGACCGACTCATGGCCAAGATGAGACACAGGGCACCTCAGCCACATTGCAGTCCCTCTTTCCGACCCCCTCTGAGACTCCAAGCTCCCCCCATCCCTCCCAAGGAGTTATTTTCACTGTCACTGCTTGCTTCCCACTTCTCAGGGGCCACATCCTCAGGGCCACAAAGTCCTGCACCACACCACTGCTCTTCTTTGCAGTATTAGTTTCCATCATTGTAGGAGGCAACTGGGTTTCACACACCTCACCCAGGACTGAGGTGCTTGGTTTGTCAGTCTGTCTGTCCACCCAACTGCTGGCCAAAGGCAGATAGCGCATGAAGGGGAGGGCAGAGCTGAAGCCCAGGGGAAAATTCCACCTTCCCCCAGGCTCCTGGGTGAGGTTGTACAATGGTGTCTCTCAAGGGAAAGTTAAAGAGTTTGCCACATCTGTTAGGGTGCAATCTTGACTGCCATGTGGGGGGCCCTGGCTGGGCTAGCAGGACTCCCCATGAACACTCCTGAGCCAGCTGGCTCCAAGATGGCTGGCAAACGTTTAGCCCTGGTTTCTTTTCATTTCTTGGGTAATAAATGTTTTCAAAGCCTATTGAAAGCACCCAGCATTCGGCTGCCTGCATGCAGACAAGCTCTGATGCCCTTGAGATGGTCAGACAGAGGGAGAAGAGGCATCCAGTCTTAGGACAAACACTGATGCCATTAGGTCAACCTCTCAAGAGCAGGTTGCTGGGGAGGGCTCCTGGTGATCACATCTCCTGGGGAGGGCTCCTGGTGATCACATCTCCTCCTGTTGCCACCAGCTTTCCTGTTGGCTCCCCAAACTAGTCCTCAGGCCCAGGGTGACTAGAAGGAGCTGCAGCTCAAAGGTGCCTTGGACCTTTGTCAGTGATGTTTGAAGGGCATCATGTGCAACCACTGCACAGTCTGCACTGTTGTGAGTGAAGAGCAGAGGAGCCCCTCTGGCAAAGGAGGCAAAGGGAAGAGCTTCCGTGATGTTGCTGAAGTGGTCCCTGAGTGCCAGTTTACCTGGCTGTGCCTATGTTCCTGTACTGGCACATGAGAAGGTGCTTGAAAGTTTTCTTGAAAGTGGCATTGCAGAGGGCATAGCAGGCTGGGTTGATGGTGCTGTTGACATAGCAGAGCCAGTAGCCGATGGACCACACCGTTTCAGGTACACAGGTCTCACAGAAGGTGTTGATGAGGACCATCACGTTGTATGGTGTCCACGTGAGTATGAAGGCCAGCAGGATAGCAAATATGGTTCGAGTGACTTTCTTCTCCCGGGCTGCCATCTGGCGCTTCTTCCGTACTTGGCTCCTGGCAATGCTAGCAAACTTCCTGGCCACGTTGGCCGGGCGGCTGTTGGCCAGGGAGTTGTGGTCAGAGGCCTTAGCTGGGACGATCTCAATGGCAGTGACGCATTCGGTCCCAGTCTGTTTGGTGACAATCTTAATCTTGGACCACTTGGAAGATGGGTTCACGCGGGGGTGGGACGGGCTCTGTCCTTGCCCTGCTGGCAAGATTTCTGCCGTAGGCTTGTCTTTTGTGGTCTGGGTCATGCTGACCGTGCTGGACTCATTGGAGGTCTCCTTCTCCTCCTGATGGCCAGTGGCCTCTGTCTGTGCTGAGGGCTGGTCATCGACTTTCCCATTCCTCACCTCCTCCTTCACCTCCGTGGCCTTCTTGGGGGAGTTATTGTTGTTCTGTTTGATATGGGGACTCTTGAAGAAGCTGAGGGACTTGCCTTTCCTCTCTTTCCTGCTTTCGGGTTTGTGCCTCCTCACCCTGCTCCTGCTGGCCAGGGAGATGTGGATGTACAGCACTGTCATGATGACCACGGGCAGGTAGAAAGCAGCGATGGCTGTGCCGAAGGTCACTGCTGGGTTGGAGAGGAACTGGATGTAGCATTCCCCCTCAGGGACTGTCCTCTTGCCCACAATGAACTGCCAGAACAAGATGGCAGGGGCCCAGAGTATGAAGGACAATATCCACGCAGCCGCGATCATTAGCCCTGCCATCTTGGTGGTCCTCCTGGCTGGGTAGGTCAGGGGCTTGGTGACACAGAAGTACCGGTCAAAGCTGATGATGAGTAAGTTCATGACAGAGGCATTGCTCACCACGTAGTCCAGGGCCAGCCACAGGTCACACACCACGGCCCCCAGCGGCCAGTAGCCTTTGATGATGTAGACTGAGTAGAGGTTCATGGAGAAGACCCCGATGATAAGATCTGCACAGGCCAGGCTGAAGAGGAAGTAGTTGTTGACAGTCTGGAGCTGGCGGTTCACCTTGATAGACAGCATCACCAGGATATTCCCCACCACAGTGACCAGGCTGAGCGAGCCTGTGACTGTGGCAATGAAAACCAGCTCCACTGTCTTGTAGTTGGTGGGAGGCTGGATGGCCACCTCGGAGTGGTTGCCCAGAGTGAAGTTGTCGTAGGTCAGGTTGGCCATCTTCAAATGCCAGGGCTGAGCAGAGAGGTTGTGCATGGAGTCTGCAAGAAGAGTGGAGACAGGAGGGGAGAACATTATACTTCCTGGCCCCTGTGTCTGTCCAGCTGCAGCACCACAGCTGTGAGCTGCTGCAGCTTCACTGCAATCCTTCTCCTGCTTCCTTTTCCTCCCTTCCCATCTCCTGCTCTTGTGGTCAGCTGGTGCCTGG